AAAGCATTTTTTAAAAAGAAGAATTGGTAGTGATCTTTGGGTTTACGAAAAGGTCAGTTTTTTGGGAAGCTGGAAGTGATGATCGTTCTGACCCCTTTTACTTAGGATGAAACTTCACCGTGGAAACGATGAGCCAGAGAAGGATTGGGGTACAGAGTGCTGTGCTCACATCTTGGGCATAATCCATATGAGCTGCTTGCTTGATGGTGAGCCGTGTGATAGGGATTAACCCCAAACCAAATACCCAGCTTCTGTGGTTAGATTGGGTAGCTAGTTTATTCTCAGCCATAATGATCTGCAGAATGTAGGCTAGACACTTTGTTACCTGCTTTGGTTGTAATTAGTTGTTTATACATTTTGTAACTAGTAGATGAACTGAGCAGGTCTGTGAAAACACAGATGCAACTATTACTGTGTCATGGACTTTGTGTCAGGATGATGTTTTTTAACATAAATCAGAGTATTTAGGTTTTAAAAGAAACTAGATATTGAAATACTTTTTTATGCACAGACCCTCCCTGTAGGTCCGTGAAGGTAGGTTGATCTACATTTTATTGATTTTTACTAACACTTTCCTCCTATCTGCCAGGAACGAGAGACACTTTGGCAAATGCGCTCTTCGGCAGACTTTGGTATGGGACTTTCTTATGGCATAGACAGGTGGTCTCTGGTGGCTGAGGGATTCCTTTGAGATCTGCTTGTGGTGTGCAGTCAGCCTGAGAAGGCTCTTGTGTGAACCTGGGTAGACCGTAGAATTCTAGGAATTTAGAGACTAGAGTGGCCACACCCCTCCGCATCTGCCAGCCTCTGTGAAGGAAGTCTATTTATTGCATGTTGGTGTAGTTAAAATCATGGAGGAAGCTGCTTTCCTTACTTTTGCCTAGGAGGTTACTTTCACTGGGTTACCACTTGGCACCCTTGTGTTTGGATATGAGGGACCAGCAGAAGAAACTCTGGGGTTTATAAAAAAGTTGCTAAGTTGATAACATTAAAATTTTCCAAGTGGGGTGGCTGGGTGGCTCAGTTGGTACGGCATGTGACTCTTGATCTCAGGGTCATGAGTTAAAGCCTCATGGGGGGCATATAGATTACTTAAAAATTTTTTTGGGGGGTGCCTGGGTGGCTCGGTCGGTTAATCGTCCCACTTCGACTCAGGTCATGATCTCATGGTCCGTGAGTTCGAGCCCCGCATCAGGCTCTGTGCCAACAGCTCAGAGCCTGGAGCCTGCTTCTGATTCTGTGTCTCCCTCTCTCTCTGACCCTACCCCGTTTATGCGCTGCTTCTCTCTGTCTCAAAAATAAACAAACATTTAAAAAAATAATAAAAAAAAAAATCCCCCCCCCCCCAAGTAAATACTTCTCTAAGCTATCATCTGGTATTTGAACACTACTTTTCCCATGCAAGGAAGATGTATCCTAGAGTAAAGGTCAGCCCTTTAATTAAACGAAGGTGGGTTTGTAAATCAGTAATAGACAATCTTGGCTTTTTGTTTTTTCCGTTTTAGTCATGGATCACAAAGTCTGCTAAAATCTGTGGTTTGGGAGTTTTCTGCATTTTCACTGGGGGAAAGCATAGGGCTTGGTAAGCAGAAAGTGCAGGACCCAGTGTAGGAAGCGAGAGAACTTCCTGTGTCTGTTGGGTCCCCATTTGTTCCTGGTCACCTCTTACCGGTGTCTGCCTGTAGTCACAGGGGGCTGAACAAGAGTGGGCAAGCAGCTCACGGAGTAGCTTCACTTGGCCTGTGTGTGGGCCCTGCCCTGGCCGCACACACTGGCCTGTTTCTCTGTGCTGTCGCCTAAGTTTCCAGCCTAATGTCTGATTCTGTGCTTTGGAGGTTTGCTTGTGAAACCTTCTAAGCTGAATTTGTATCTGTAGAGCTTAGAAACGAAGTGTTATGGCATGGAGACTCCTGACACAGAAAGGTAAAGAGTATTATAGGAAAAGCCACGCCAAAAGAACATTCACCCTTTGCTGAAGGTGGGATCGTTGGCTGCATATTGTCTTTTACCTACCTCGGTTGCTCAGACTTTGGTTTTCCTAGGGTTGTATAGAGAATGACTTCTCTACTGTTAAAAAAAAAACTGTGGTAAAATGTACGTAAAATATGCCGTTTTAACCGTGTGAAGTGTATAGTTCAGGGGGATTAAATACAGTGTTGAGCATATATACCACTGTCCATTTTCAGAACTTTCTTTCTCATCCATTAAACAATAACCCCTTTCCCAACTCCCTCCAGCTTCTGGAAACCTCTATTCTGTCTTATCTGTCTGACTTATTTTGCGTAGTATAATGTTTTCAGACTTCATCTGTGTTGCAGCATGTATCAGCATTCCGTGCCTTTTTATGGCTGAAGAATCTCTTTATGGCTGTACCACATTTCTTTATTCCATTCATCTGTTGGTGGACCCTTGGGTTGTTTCCACCTCTTGGCTATTACGAATAATGCTATTTGGTGTACAAGTATTTCCTCCTTCCTGTCACTTCTTTTGGGTCTGTACCCAGGAGTAGAATTGTTGGGTCATATGGTAATTATGTGTTTTAACTTTTTGAGTGACTGCCAAGCTTTTCTGTAGTGGCTGTACCATTTTATATTCCAGCTTAAAAAACATTTTCCCCCCCTCAAAATAAAAAGGTAGTTTTATTTGTGAAGTTAAAGTTGATTGGGCCTATGTGCACCAGCTCATTTCTGTTCCATGAAGTCTTGCAAATCTTCCCTTCTTTTTTCCTGTTTCTGGCATGAAATGAAAACACCTTGGGCAGGGAGTTGGCTCCTGGCTCCTATCTCTATTATATCCCCTAGGAATGTGTGAAGGCAGAGGAGAGCACAGTTTATTGGGAATGGCTTCTTGATATGTGGGTTTTAAGGAGTGTGCTACTTTACCTTTCTGCTCTAGGAGCACTGAAGTTTGAATGTCTCAGAACAAAGTCAAGATTAGTCTTGTGATGGATGTAACTATGTGGAATTCTAAATCTGGCAAATCGAATACTGTCTTTCATGTTGTGCTAACATATGGACCCTTTTTTTTCCCTTCGAATTCAGTGAAGGAGAGCGACCTACTCAGAATGAGAAGAGGAAGGAGAAAAACATAAAAAGAGGAGGCAATCGCTTTGAGCCATATGCCAATCCAACTAAAAGATACAGAGCCTTCATTACAAACATACCTTTTGATGTGAAATGGCAGTCACTTAAAGACCTGGTTAAAGAAAAAGGTAATGGTACTGGTGGTCGAGTAGGGTAAGAAGGTTGATGTGTCATCTTTTCTGTGGCTAATTCCTTGGTTATTTTTTGTCAGTGGAAGTTGATCTGGGTAGAGCATTGTGTTCTGTCCAGGCTTGAGAGTTAAGCCGCTTTACCCACCCTACTTTTTTGTGTGGTCAGGCACCTGTGTGTCAAACAGGGTGGTTTGTATGGTCCTTTGGCCTACAAATGATTTTACTGGCTTAATATGGTTAATAGGACTTTGATTAAGCTTGAGGGGAACCTCTTTGTGTTAAGGAAATTTTTTGATTTCTTCATATTAGGTGGGAGAGGTTTTTCCTTTAAAAATTTTTTTTTAGCTTTTTAATTCTGGAGGGAAGGTAGTTTGTTTAAATTTTGTGGATGTCTTCCTGGGATCAAAATTTGGTAGTTGGAACTTGCGCTGCTCAGCTTCTAAATTCTAAAACATGAGCTTGTATTTAAACTTGGGCTTTTTCCACCCTGGGAAGAAACACGGGTTAGATTGGCAATTGGAGAGCTCAAAATAAGGCATCTGCCGGGCAATGCCGTTCTTGCCGGCAAACATCAGTAGCGGCCTGGTGTCCCGGGCCAGGGCAGGGGGAGCAGCCGAAGCTCTGCTGCCACCAGGAGGTCCTAGGAGGCCGGTTGTCCCTGTGGTCCTCTGCCTCACCCCCTGTGCACACCATACGGATCCTCTTCCTTTTCACATTCTTGTTCTGCTTTTGTCTTCTTTCTTTCCTGATTCTTGGCCCTGCTGGTGGCACTCAGGGCTGAAGAGATTGCTCAGCCCTGGTTTAGACAAAACTATTGATAGAGAACAATTTGTCTGATGCCTTGAGGTCTCCCCCAAGGGAAACTAGAATCAAATTACCCTTAAATGGAGTCTTTTTGAAGGACTGAAAGTTACTGGTTTTCTGGAGCATTCATAACGAAAAGAGATGCAAGTTTGAATTGTCCCATGATTAACATTTCAGTGGCAGAGATGCCACTTGGATAGGCCATTCTGGTATGTGTACTGGTGCTCCCAGCATCGGGTTTTGAAATTATGACTGGCCCGCTGCCGTCATTGTCCCATCCATGACGCGCCAGAAGCACTAGGCACCGTGACCTTCTCTGTACAGTCATGTAGGCTGCTCCCGTGTAGTAGTTCTGCAGAGAACACGGATGGAAAAATGTTTCGGTGTGAGATTTGTTTTCCTGCCTCGATCAGCCAAATCATTCCTGCCAATGCTCCTAGGGCAAGAGTGAAGTTTCTTCTTTTTGTCTGAAGGGCGTGTCCTGTGGCATCCCAGATGCAGTGTTCTTGGTTTTTGGGACTGCTGCTTCAATACAAGCTTAGAATTTCTGTACAGTACAGTTGGGTCTCATTCGAATTAGTTTTTGGAATAACTCCCAAATTTGTGTTTTTGTGATTTGGTTGAACCGCTGAATTGCTACTTCCATTGATAATAAGGTATAGTAGTTCCAAGAACCAGGAATGTGGCTTTGAAAATGCAATTGTTAGAATTTTGTAAGAGATTGCAGGCCAAATTATTTTTTATTTTTAGGAGTGTGTGAACCAGTTTTGGGACATGATGGATAAAGTAGGTGACATTTTTACTGCTTTACCATTCAGTAATTCAGTTTTGGAAGCCTTAAAGCTGGTAGCAGCAGCAGCCATGACGTTTCTGGATGTAGAAGCAGTTCACCTCAATTTCCTATTTTGCACTGTATTAAGCGTGGGGCCAGCCTGGTGGTTTATTCGGATACTTCCAAACTGGTTCTCATATTCCCCTGGCATACTGCTATGAATGCCCTGGCTCAGCCCTTTCAGTGTATTTTTTTGGTGGTGTAACTTAGAATTACAGGTGTGCAGTAAATCAGTTATTTTAAACAAATCTTAAAATGTTCTTGTTTAGAGCTCCCCTGTATAGGTTAAATTAATTATTTTTCTGTTTCAGTTATTTGCAGTATTGTATTGTGGGTAAAGGGAATTCATAAGAGAAAGGTAATTTTTTATGGTAATGCTTCTGTTCAGCATGGGAAGTCTGAAGTTTACTGTTCACGTACATAGGCCTCCTTAAAAATGTTCTTATTTTTATTATAAGATTTAAAATTACAGTTTTATTCGTTTCTTGGTATGCTGAAAACATGTGTAGGTGGTTATTTGAAATCTGTAGGATTGAAACCTGTTGCAAGTAAGTTTTTATTTTTTGAAGGCCTGTTGCCGCAGCTAGGGACAGTTAGCACCCTAAAAGCGTCAGTCTCCAGGTAATCTCCAGAGTGGACCAGCTGCAGAGACCTGGCTTGTTATAACCCAGACGCTTTTTATTGGTCTGCCTTTTAAGAGTTTTGCTGTTTCAGGAAACCAGTGGAATAAGCTTCATTAGTTGTCTTCAACTGAAAGGTCTGGGAAATGTCCTGTCACTGCAACACTGTCTAATTGCCGCCTCTCAGAACTAAACTAGATGCTTTAAAGTGGCATGACCAGAGCTTTTCTAAGGCTAATCATGCCTGAGATTGCCTCTTGTACCCCTCCGTGATTCCTGATCTTTACCCCCTTACATGGCCACCGGGCATATGTTGTCCGTCTTAAGTTTTAGCATTTGGCAACATTCTAGGACATCCTGTGAATGACACGTGTATTCTGTGATTGGTCACTTTGCCTTTTTCCCCTGGATGGGGTCAAAAGCTTGTTTGGTGCCCAGCTGTTTGGTGACACTATCATGAAATCAGCATCACTGAGTTTAAAGAGAAAATGCATGGAAAGCTTGTTTTGTCCTGAGTTGGGCTGCCTTTTTGCTCACTACCCACCCATCCCCGTCCCCATCCCCATCCCCGTCCCCGTCCCCGTCCCCGTCCCCGTCCCCGTCCCCGTCCCCATCCCCATCCCCATCCCCATCCCCATCCCCCTATATTGGTCAGGGATGTGGCTTCAACAGTTTTCACAGCCCGTAGAATTGAACGCTGAACTTTCCTCTTCCTGTTCTAAGTGTCCTGATGGAACAAAGGAAAGGTTTCTATTGTCCTTTCTCTTGACCATGTTTATTTTTAACAGAGATATTACATGGAACAAATAAATGGCTGCTGTGAACACCAAAGAGTTGCTGGATTGAAACCAAATTGAGAGTCAGGGTAATAGGAAATTTGAATTGGCGATTGTCACACCAGGTCCCAGTCACCCAGTTTTTACCCCTTGACAGATTGGAATCACATTGCAGGTGTCTGACCTTAAGGACTGGGTGAAAAACGGTGCTCTTGGGAATTTACACTTGGTGTTGTGCTACGTTACTGGGAAGTCCTGTGTGGATGAATAAAGCTCCTTATTGGTTATTGGGCTGCTTGTTCTTGTTCTCCTGGCCTGACCAGGTAGTTGGCACATCGAGGTGGGGCGGTTGTAACCAGACAGGCCTGAGTTGGACCTGCCCTGAGTAAACAGCACAGTTGGAGGAATAAAGGAAAGTCCATGATGGAGTTTACTCTCAATCAATCCCAAGTTTATCAGCAGTCAGGTTGACCTGTGTAAGCAAGGATTTCTTTAAGCACTTAATCCTGTCCTCATTTAATGCATCACTCTGAGTAAATTTCAGATTCCAGCTGACAGAAAACTGAGGCCCAGAGGGCAAGTGTAGTCCAGAAGAAAGTCTCCCTTGGCCCTTGAAGACAACCTATGTTGTGGATTTATGGAGCCGAACTTTATTTTCAATTTAAGTAAAAATCCATATCCAGTCCTTTTGTTCCTTTGTGTTTTCCTGTTTTGGAAATTCAGCCTGCATTTTTTAAAGAATTATGCTAAAGCATCTCTATCTGGGGGTACTTGGGTTGAACCTGGACAGTGTAGCCTGCCTTAGCTTACTTGGTAGGTTTTGGTTTAGTTAGAGAAGTAGTGGTCTTCAGCTTTTGCTATGAAAGTAGCAAGAACGGGCTCCATAAGTATCCAGTTTGTCCATTAAATTAAGTAGACGTTGTGTAGAATAATTATTTTGCCACGTTTCATGTTGTCTATGTATTAAAGATACAAGCTTTCCAGTTAAAATACTCATTTGTTCCGTGCACCCCTCTATGAGAGCAGCCAGCTGAGAGTTGAATGTGTTTGAGGGGAATGCATTTGATAACATACCCTACTTTTCAGCCTTCCCCCTCCAACCCCATCTTTTATAGGCCTTTTCACATGTGAATTCTCTTCAGTGAAGTTTTGGCCTCCATACATCATCTTTTTTTTGGGGGGGGGGGGTGGTCAGTTTCAGAGTAAATGAGAACACAGAAACAAATACTCCTGGTGATAAAAACATGTGCGGGAGTGTTAAATCACAGTAGCTCCTAGGGACTTCCTGACTTCATTTTGGGTTGCGTGTTCACTCTCCTTATCCTCATGATGTGTTTTATTCTTGAGGCAATGTTTTTAATAATCCGTGTAAATGTTGGTTAAAGGTGACTTGGAGCATTTTAAACTAAAGGTAGGTGATAACGTTTGTCAGATTTTTCGAAGTCTTAGTTTTTTCATATAGATGTTTTGATGTTTAAAGCTCAGAAGGATTTCCTAGCACCTCCTCTTGAGATTCCATGGATTCCATCCATGTTCAGGAAGGGAGAGGAACAACTGTATTTTTCATCAGTACCTGCGAGTTCCATTTCAGAGAGACTTGCTACTTACTGCCAATTTGTTACCTCTGCCTCTCAGTCCTAGCTCCTCTGCTGTGGTGGATTTGCTTTCTGAAACGTAGTTTCATTGGCTGCGAGCAGACTATGCATGGTTGGCAAATTTTACCTTCAGAGTTTTGTTGCTAGTTGTTCTGACTGAACAGGTTTTTGTTTTAATCCTGTAGAACTGAAAAGAGAGGTGGTCTTCGTTACATCTTCCTCTAGGGAAGTACGAACTAGCACGTATTGCATATCTTGTATACTGATTTGCTTACATCTCTGAATTAAGGCAGTCTCTCAGGGGAGAGATTGGGAATTGACGAGGGACACGGTTATTATTAACGGTCCTCAGGAACAGCACTACTCGTGCTAGAGCCACAATGACTTCCTAATCTATGGCTAAACGGATAGGGTGGAGGGTTTTTTTAATGTAATTTTTTGTTTTTACTGAACAACTATACCATTTGGGGGGAAAAAGTAAGAAAGGACATTTTAAACAAAGTTTTGGTGCTAAGGATTGAAGTTGGATGTGTGCCATCACTAGAATGTGAAGTGGGCAAAGCCCTAATTTCTGAACCTGGCTTTTTGGAAAAAAGTTTGGTTTGGACTTGGTTTCTAGGATGCAATGACAGTTTTGATAAAGTGTCTTTATGGACACGGACTAGAAACTTATCAAACGCAACAGTATTTGAATTCTGACAACATAGTTGTCTTGAGTTAGAGATTGTGATTATTTATTTTTAAGGTCACTAGGTGGTAGTCCCCGCTTGTAGAAAATAAATTTGAGGTCTCTTCACTGTCTTGACACTATTTGGCATTTTTATCAAAGTGGAGATAAAGGCTGTTGGTCCTCAAATGGCTGCTGCTGTTGAAATGAATGGCTGTTTAAAAACATGGCCTCAGGAATATGGCCACAATTTTTTTGGAATTGCTTTCCTTTGTAAGGGTGAAATAAAGCCAATTTGTATGACTGTCCCTTGGCTGATCCTTTTCAGTTTGCCCCACAGGAGTACATACTCCAAAAGTTAAATTACACCAGCCCCTATTTCCACTCTTCGTTCTTTGCACTGATTCTCCTTCCTGTTTTGTGCACAGTGCTGGTCTGGTTCTGTAATGTACCAAAAAAAGACAAGGGGAGGCGACTTTGAACACTTGGCCTTCTTGTTGTCAACTGCCATGCAAGTATATTGCTAATAAATACTCCCTTCAAATTGTTAATTTTTAGAAGTAATTTTATCCTACTTTACATTCACATCATTCCTTGATGTATTTTAAATTCCTTATAATTTTAATTTCCTTTGGACAAATGAATTAGAATAGGCAGGACTTGTCAAGGCCATTAAGAGGCTTACGTTTACCCTTGTACTGTTAAACCAAACTTGAACACTGAATTGGAGAAGGCTTTACTATCATAAAGATAATCCTTTTTCAAAAAGGATATTCCTGAGTACAAAACCGCTTGCTTGACTTTGGAGAGCCTGCTGAGAGATGTTTTCTCCAAGTTAACACTTCAAATTTCTGTTGTTTTTGTGCCATCTTCAAGTTCAGCAGCCATTTTGGTGGTTGTCGTCTTGATGGGTTCTAACATCTGGTCATGGTGGTCATGAATTGGCAATCCAAACCTTGAGGAAAATCTGTGGAACCTTTTGAAATGCTTCATTTTTAACCCCTTCCCCACCTTTGTGTAGATTAGAATCCTGTGTCTTAACTGTCAGTTGCAAACTGAGCTCTGAATTCGCATTTATCTTTGTCTTTCAATGGGAAGGTTGAAAAAAGCAGGAGGAATAAAAGCCTGCCTTAACTCACCGAAGAGAATCCAGATGCTGCTCTGGTTTTGCGATCGGATACTCGAACATCCTCCTTCTGACCATTATGGAGCCTAGTGCTGTGCGCAGGACCAGCTACAGATCTTGTGGGGCCCCGTGCAAAATGAAAACGCGAGGTGCCTGGTTAAAAAACTAAGAATTTTGTGATAATAGCAGCATTAAACTATGCACGTGGCCCTCTTGAATGCAGGGCTTTGTGCACTCCTGTAGCCGCCCCTTTGGGCATGTGTGCGTGCACATCCTTGGATTTAGCAGTTGAGCTCAGTTCAGTGGCATTGCGGCCTGTGTGCTGTTTACCTGCTTTCACCAGTAAGAGTGTACGTGCAAAACTGTTTTCCTCCTTTCCCCAAAAAAGTGAATCACGCAGACTTCTTTCCTATAGATTTGGATTGCCTCTAGTCATGAATGAGTATTTCAGACAGGGAAATTGATATGGAAATCTGTGGAAATAGCTTGTTTGTGGTGGGAGGAAAATCAAGGACATAATTGTTAACGAGTCTCACCTACTTTTACTGCACACCTGTAATGCCTAGTTTGGTGGTTTAGAGAATATGGAGTGTTTCTGGGCTTTCTTATAAGGCAGAGGCTCCATACAAGGTTGCTGATGATTGTTCTAAATTCCCATTGTTTTCTTGGCTTTTCTCCCTTGGTTTATGTGTCGTCTGGAAACTGATTTGTAGTTGGTGAGGTAACATACGTGGAGCTCTTAATGGACGCTGAAGGAAAGTCAAGGGTAAGTGTCTGAGAGAATTTCTTCTGTGGATTTACTACTTGAAAAATGTAACTGTATGGTGGCGTGGAATCGAATGAAATCAGGAAGGCAGTGAGTGCTCATGTTACAGTAGCTATGTTTGATTTTTGCCAAACATTTGAGTGGGGTGGGAGGGGATTTGCAAACGGGAGTCCCGCTTTTCCAAATGGCTGGCCAAAGAGCTTTTTGGTATTCTGTTTGGATGCCCAATTTGGATAACTGGGGACCAATAGCAGCATTGTCTCTTTGTTAACAGAGGAATTGGCTGTGTGTGAATTATGCATGGAATTTTAGCGGTGGTATATTAATGTAAAACGTGTGTTCTTGTCTAGAAAATGTTACTCTTGGTCGTTTGCTGAATTTGAAAGTTGTGTGAACCAAAGATTCCGAAAAGTTGCCTTTGTGCCAGTAAATTGTAAAACAATTATTAAAACCTGAATGTTTAAAATTGGCCTAGTTTAAAGAGAAAATTAAATTATTTTGTCGCGCAATAGAATGGCTTAGAATAATCAAAAGGATGAGCTTTAATTTACGGAAGGGATGGATTTAGGAGGAGTATGATAAGGAATTGATTTGAGTACAGAGAGAAGCAGATCTAAAGTTTGTGTGATTTCTTGGAGAACCTGAATTTAGGTCTGCTTATTACAACTTCAGCAGCTATAGTGCAATGCTGGTAATGTGCAGGCAGAGGAGGTAACAAGGAGCCCAGCTGTTAATAAGGAAGGCTAGGCGAGTCATTCCTGTGAGCTTCCCCTTAGAAGGGTTGATATAAAAACTAACCTTGTTATATAAATCGTATTTTTAATTTATATAACTGTCACTGGTATTTACTATGTTTTTCTTTTTTTCTCCTCTTTCCTTGCTCTTCTGACTGGTCTGTGGCTTCCTCCAAAGGGATGTGCGTAAGTATTGTCTAGTTACTTATTGGCAATTGAGCCTTCTCAGTCGTAGGACCGGTTTCACTCATCTCCTTTTGGCTCTTCATAGCGTTGTTGAATTCAAGATGGAAGAAAGCATGAAAAAAGCTGCGGAAGTTCTAAACAAGCATAGTCTGAGTGGAAGACCACTGAAAGTCAAAGAAGTAAGCTCTTGAAACAATGTGGATATCATTTATAATTGTCGAGTTGTCCCCGTTTGGAGTTAGGAAAAGACAAAAATAATCCTTGACTACATTTTACGGAGCAGACCAGCCTGTCGTTTTTAATGAAGAGGGCCAGTCACAGGCTTCAGCAGTCAACTCCTGTAGGAACTTGGAATAATGATGGAGCACGTCCTGAGCAACTGCTGTCTTCCCGATGTCTGTGATTTGTCTTAGACGAGCCTACCTTGTTTTATTGATCAGGGGCACTTGGACTGAGCCCCTGGTTGGTGTACGTGTCTGTGGGTGTGTATGTGTGTGTGTGTTAAGGGATTCTACACCTAAAGTTTTACCCAGCCTGAACCCTATTTCTTAGCCCACCTTTTTTCTTTTTTAAAGCGAGTTTATCATTACTCAGATCCACTTTGGTATTTAATCCAAACCAGATACCTTCTCTCCCTTGAGAAAGCGGGAAGTTTTTATGATTAAATCCCTCCCTTATTTTTACCTTTCCTTCTTAGAGGAAGATTAATCTATTCAGAGCTCAGAGAGTAGAGCACAGGAGGGGCTAAGGTTTCTTTGGGCTGAAGAGACACATGAAAGGGCAAAGAGTTCAAGACTAGTGTCAATGCCGGAGTTTCATACACCTGTCCAGACCTCACACGAGTCAGACGCCTGCATAACATGAAGGATGGAGTACCTCGGTGATCTAGAACTGCGTTTTCAAACTTTTGGAACAATCACTGATGGGGTTAACAGAAATTAACAGAACCCCGTTGAAAATTAGTGAGATTCAACTATACCAAGCCTGTGAAGATCTTATTTCAGTCTGGAAGTGTTCTGTGTTCTATCAACTAATCTTGTCATCTGCCACTCAGTTCAATTGATAGCTAAATTTGACACCTTTCCTTTTGGCCTCGTTCCTTTGGCTGGAATTCTTCTAACCCGATGGTTGAGTTCGTTTGAATTTCTTGTTATAGATTTCAAGAAATACTTTTCCAAACAACCTCTCAATCTCTGGAGTTTTGGGAATATCCCTTTTTGTGAGATCATGGTCTTAGTTGTCACTGGGTCAGTTAAATGTAACACTTTTGTGCTTGTTTTAGGATCCTGATGGTGAACATGCCAGGAGAGCAATGCAAAAGGTGATGGCTACGACTGGTGGGATGGGTATGGGACCAGGTGGCCCAGGAATGATTAATATCCCACCCAGTATCCTAAATAATCCTAACATCCCAAATGAGATTATCCATGCATTACAGGCTGGAAGACTTGGAAGCACAGTATTTGTAGCAAATGTAAGTAAACGGAAACATTGTCTAAGGTGGAAAAGTCAGAACTTTATGATAGTTTTGTTAATGTGTTATAAAAGTAGTTCTGATATTTGAGAAGAACAATTGAAAAGAGGGTTATGCTGTCTTCTTCTTCTGTTTAAAAAACAAACAACTTTGAAGTTGGGCTTTGTCCCACAGTGACCCTGTAGTGATCAGTCACAGGCTTGACCATGGTCCCACTGGGGTCATGTTCACTGGCTTTTGCTGGTTATAAAAGTGGCAGCTGAGTCTGCATTCCCTGTGGGTGCGGGCCAAAAAAGTATATGAACCAAGCTGACATTCCATCCCTCCTCTTGTGTTTGGGATGAAAGATAATGCCTTTGCCATTGGCAAAGGGAAATATTTTTAAAGAAAAATGCATTGGGAAGGATGATGGTAAACTTTAGCTGGGGAACAAAAAAGTTTTGTTTTTTTGTGTTTTTTTTTTTGGGTTCAGAGTAAGCATTAATTTGAAAGGCATGAGGTGACTTAACCTGTTCTTCCGGAGAAAAGAGACAGTGACTAGCAGTTAAGGCCAGGCTTCATAATCGTATCTGAAAAATTCTACTGTGGTGGGATAAGTCCTTGTGACATTATATTTATTTATTTATTGCATTTAATTAATTATTTATTTTTGAGAGAGTGAGTGAGTGTGTGTGTGTGTGTGTGTGAGCGAGCACGAGCAGGGGAGAGGGGCAGAAGGATAGAGAATCTCAAACAGGCTCCATGCTCAGCAAAGGGGCTTGATCCCATGACCGTGGGGATCATGACCTGAGCCGATATCAAGAGTCGACCCTCAACTGATGGAGCCACCCAGGCGCTCCTGTGACATTATTTAAAATAAAATAATAAAATAAAAAAAATTTTTTTTAAATTGTTTTTATTTTCGAAGGAGAGAGGGAGACAGAGCATGAGCGGGGGAGGAGTGGAGAGAGAGGGAGACACAGAATTTGAAGCAGGCTCCAGGCTCTAAGCTGTCAGCACAGAGCCCGATGTGGGGTTCGAACTCACAAACTGTGAGATCATGACCTGAGCTGAAGTTGGACGCTTAACTGACTGAGCCACCCAGGCACCCCTGTGATGTTATTTTTAAATGTTTGTTTCCAACCAGAGCATATTGTGTTCAATATGTTATGTGTTCAAAATGTTTTTTCTTGAGATGTCTACATTGAGATTTTTCTCTCCTTTCTCTTGATTAGCTGGATTATAAAGTTGGCTGGAAGAAGCTGAAGGAAGTTTTTAGTATGGCTGGTGTGGTGGTCCGAGCAGACATTCTTGAGGATAAAGATGGAAAAAGTCGTGGAATAGGCACTGTTACTTTTGAACAGTCCATTGAAGCTGTGCAAGCTATATGTATCCTTTTATCAGAATTCAACTCTTGGTGAACAGTTTGGCCTTAAACATTGCATGAATAACACAGGTTTTTGGGGAGGAAGTGGTAACTGTGTGTGTATTTCCCAAATGACCATAGGGATTGCATTGCTGTGGAATGTAAAAGTTGTCTGTGATGGAATTGATTCAGTACTGCATAAATAGAAAATAGGCACATGCCCGTGAGTGGTCTTTTCCAGTGTTCTCTTTTTAGAGTCTGGTTTGAAGGGAGAAGTCTAAAGAATACGCCACTGGAGAGAAATTCGGTTGTTATTTCACGTATAAGTCCTTGGCTGTATCTCTCCAATGGATTGACATCATTCTAGAAATACTTCTCTCTCTGATCCTAAGCTGGTTACCCTGGAGTTTTATCTTTGTAGTCACAGTGGAAAATGCCACACATGAACACAGTCATTAAACTTGGACAAGACTTTTACTGTGTATCTTACCCAGAAAACGTGGTACTTGAAAAAATATATGGTACTTGGCCCATTGGACTCATACAAAAAACTGATGCCAGGACCTAAGAGGATGGTTTAGTGAGAAGTGTGGGGTTATGTGAGTGGAGCTCTACACCTAAGGAGTAAGCTGACACTTACTTCCCTGTCCCTTGAGCTTTATTTATTACTGCTTTTATGGTTAATGTAGAAACAAAGATTTTAAAAGTTTAATGAAGAACCAGAATTGCTCATAAATTCACTACTTAGAGGGGCTGGTAGCAGTTGGAGCATTTTTCTCTTCTGTATTTCTCTCCTGTGCATGTTTTTAGAATTGCGAGAAATAGCCTTAATTGGAATATCAGCTATGTTTAATGGTCAACTGCTATTTGATAGACCAATGCACGTGAAAATGGTAAGTTAATAGGATCTCTTTCTCCATGATATATTCAAATAAGTCTAGCAATAACATGGGAATATTAAGAGTGTACATAGCTATTATACTATATTTATGGATCAGTCTGAGTTAAAAAAGTTGCAGTATGTTGAGCAAATTTACGGCAGAAACACAGCTCTTCAGATATATTTCCCTTTTGCACAGTTGCCTGTTAACTGACATGGTCAGGAGATCAGTTGAGTATCCTGCTCAAGCAAGTGATCAAGTTCAAAGATCGGTTATGTACATGGGGTTCTACTCTTCAGGGTATCTCATTATAATGTTTAGCATTTTATCTGTTGTGACTGTAAGTCTTTGATTCACACAGCCTTTCAGGTTCTGTTGAAGCGCTTCATTGTAAACATCATCCCTGCTTTGGCTGTGCCAGGATAATAGTGAATTAATACAAGCACGACTAGAATATGCTGAGGGCAATCTGGTGAGGGCTCAGATTCAAGAAGAAAATAAAGGGAACTGTAAAGGGATATTTTAGCTACTTTAAGCATTCAGTTTAGTGTTTTGAATAGATTATTGCTTTACATGGCTTAAAAAGCATGAAGATACAGCGTGAGAGTCTTTCCCTTACTTTGTGCCCAGGTCCCTTTCATCCCCCCTAGTAACGTGGATGCATATTTTTGTCCTTCTTTTTACATAAGGGTGCAAGTACTCTGTGTATTTCTTTTTGTACTTGTATGTTATTTCGTGGCATGGGTAGATCATAATTTAGCTAGTCCTCTGTCATTGGGAGTTGTGTCCATCTGTTGTTGTTGTAAGCTGTGCTTTAATACTGAGATTTACTCACTTTCTCTTTCAGGATGAGAGGGCCCTACCAAAGGGAGATTTTTTCCCTCCTGAGCGTCCACAGCAACTTCCCCGTAAGTGTCTCCGTATGGCTTAGTTTTTGAATTTGATCCAATACTGACCGGAGAACTACACTTACCCTCGAGCTTGCGCCATGTGATTCTGCAGTGCTCTTGATCATTCTTGAGGGAAAGGTTCAAAAAGGGGTTTGTGGTAATTTTTTTTCCCCCTGTAGATTCTAAAGGGTGAAATACGAGCAGAGAGATTCACAACTTAGGAAGGGTGGTTAGGATTACTCTGTGGTGAGGCAGACTACATCCTCTAGGATGTAGTTGGGTGTTTTGAAAGTGTCCTATGGAAGGAAGAACCAGAAACTGGAAAGGAATTAAAATCAGGTTGCCCGTGGGATCAGAAGAGATTGGTTAGCATGGTATGGCTCAGCGTGGTTCCACTCTTAGGTATACGTTGAAGAACTGAAAACTGTGTCTCCATAAACATTCATGTGGGTGTTCCTAGCACCGTGATTCCAGTTGATAAATGGATAGAAGTGGTAAGTTTATATGATGGAGCATTACTCAGCCATAAAAAGGAACCAAGTACTGATACCTGCCACGACGTGGATGCACCTTGATTCCATCTGTAGGAAATGTCCAAAAAAAAGACAAATCCACCTACAGAAAGTAGATTAGTGGTTGCCAGGGGAGAGGGGTAAGTGGAGAGTTGTTTTTGGGGTGATGACAGTGTTTTGGAATTAGATGAGGGTGATAGTTGTATGTACGAAAAATCACTGAACTGTACACTTTGAATGGGGGCATCTTATGTGAAGTACGGTGATCCATATTTTTATATGGGGTCACGTGAAACATCCAGGTGAAAGTCTGTCCTGTGACAGGGAAGACTAGGTGACCAGTCACCTCGAAGATGGAAGTGGTGCATATTAGTGAAGCCTTAGGCCCTCTTTCTGACAAGCCCACAGGGCTGTGCGGAGCCTGGGCATAGGCAGCAGTGAGAGTGCTGGCCTCCAGCAGCAAGAAGGGCTGGGGAGTCCGTAGGAAGCATGGGAGTTAGGTGGCCGTGGGAGGTGAGGGGCTTGCTTGTGCTATGTTGGGAGAACTTCCTAGCAGATGAGGCAGTTGGGGTGGGTGTCTGTTTGGAGGGCCAGGGAGTGTCTCTGGTCTGGAGTGGGGACTCAGGCCTAAGGCCCAGCATCAGATGGATTGAATGAGAGCCTAGACAAGAACACTAACAGGAGTGCCTTTGTGGTTTAACATTATTGGAAGCATAAATGAGGCAGATTTCGAGGGGAGGTCAGAGGCTTCAAGAATAGATGGCTTAGTTGAAAATTTAATATATATTTTTTTTAAACGTTTATTTATTTTTGAGACAGAGAGAGAGAGAGAGCATGAATGGGGGAGGGTCAGAGAGAGAGGGAGACACAGAATCTGAAACAGGCTCCAGGCTCCGAGCTGTCAGCACAGAGCCCGACGCGGGGCTTGAACTCACGGACCACGAGATCATGACCTGAGCCGAAGTCAGCCGCTTAACCGACTGAGCCACCCAGGCGCCCCGAAAATTTAATATTTTTTAGAGAAGTACCACATATCCTTGCCCTAATCAATGTGGTCACTTGCCATGATCACTCAGGATCAGAGTGATGGCTCTTACTGACGTTTGTGCCTAGAGGAAGTGGGATGAGGGCTGTTTGAGAGCCTTGGCTGGCACAGATTGGGCCCCAGGGAGCCCATTATCCATGACTCTTGGTCTCCCAGCACATTTCAGAGGGTTGACTTCAAAATCTTCAGTGCCTTAGGGAGTAAGTAACCTTGGTGATCTCTCGCTTGCTGTTTCTATGCAGTTTAAAAACACTAGTCTGTTAAAACAGATTAAATATCTGGGAACTGGCATCAAGGTTCTTTTTAAGGTATTATTATTACTTTTAATGAACTTGGTTACCATTTAAAACCTGGTCTTGGTTTAAGCGTCAGGCCAGGGTCGCTCAGAGCATCGCAAGTGTCTTGCACTGTCTGGTCTTGTTCGCTCTTTTGAGACCAGTCTGTATTCTGTATTCTTACATCCCTGCTTGTGTGTGTGGGCATGGAGTTGAGAGCGGACTGGGTATTGATCCACAGGTTAGGAAGCTTTCTGGGCAGAAGAGAACAGTAGTTTCATTGTCGCTACAACCACCTGTAGAGTCAGAATAGTGTATGCCCAGTGTATTAACTCGCTGGTTTATTCCATTGTTTTTTCTTGGGGAAAGTCCTTTGGGCTACCAGGTTGTGAGGTGGTGATTGGGCACATTTGCACTGCTGGCCACCCGATGTCCTTAATTGCCTTATTTATTTGTTTAAGTTTATTCATTTTGGGAGAGAGCAAGCAGGGGACAGGCAGAGAGGGAGGGAGAGAATCCCAAGCAGGCTCTGCACTGTCAGCACGGAGCCTGATGCAGGGCTCGAACCCATGAAATGTTGAGACCAAGACCTGAGCTGAAACCAAGAGTCGGATGCTTAACCGGCTGAGCCACCCAGGCGCCCCTCCTTTTTAACCTTTTAAAAAATGTTTATTTTTGAGAGAGAGCATGAGAGGGGGAGGGACAGAGAGAAGGGGAGACAGAGGATCTGAAGCGGGCTCCATGCTGACAGCAGAGAGCCTGATTTGGGGCTCAAACTCAAAAACCGTGGGATTATGACCTGAGCTAAAAGTCAGACGCTTAACTGACTGAGCCACCCAGGTGTCCCCTTAATTGCCTGTTTTAATTAAACATTTCTCAATTTGAGATTTGGGGAAATGAATAAGTGTCTGTGATTCTTACATTTGAGTTGTTCATAATTCTCTGTAATTTCCAGTTGCTTTTGTTTTATACATAGCACAAACTCTAATCTGCAATTGCATATGAAAAGTTACGCCTTGAAAGGGATAGCTCCCAAAAGCCCTGGGCTTGCTCTTGGAGGTGGGTGGACTGGAATGGAGTGTGACATTTACAACACAGTATAAACAAAGACTCTTTTTGCTTTGGAAGGTCATGGTTTTCTAAGTGGAATCTACACTTCCGACTTTCTCTTTTCCTTTCAGATGGGCTTGGTGGTATTGGCATGGGGTTGGGCCCAGGAGGACAGCCGATCGATGCCAATCACCTGAATAAAGGCATTGGCATGGGAAACATAGGACCCGCAGGTGAGAACTACAGTGTGCTTTGGAGATTTCTGGGGAAGTTAGTTTTTCAAATTATTGGGATAATTGGATGTTGAGTGCTTCAAATGGAATAAAGATTTAATTGGGGCAGAATTTCTTCCTTACTCCTCTCTCATTCATTTTGATAAAAGCAGTATTTTGTGTTTTTACTGAATTGAATCCTCTTTTCTAAAGTTATACTTTTGCATTTTGTCCTTGCATGACCTTCTGAGCTGAGGTAGTTACGCTATTCCCTATTCGATAAAAGGAGGCAGGCCAGAGAGTTGGTCTTGCTCAAGGTCACATTATCAGTTAGTGACACACTGTAGATCCCCTGACCGTGGGACTACAGCACTGCAGCACTGCCGCAGTCTGTTACCCAGACACCCTTAGGCTCTTGCCTGATGGTGATAATGGCTTGTAGAGGTGGGGGCATTGGCGGATACAAAAAAGCACAGGAGGGCCTCATTGCATGACAGCATAGCTGTCACAGGCCACAAAGACATAGTGTTGAGTGTTGTCTTTGTTCAAGATGATAAATAGCTAATGAATAAAAACTTTGTGGAGAATATACTTTAAATTTTGCTGTTCAGCATTTTCATTCTGTGCAATGAGGTGTTTATATACTATTAAGAACGATTTCATTTTTATGACCACAGACTTAACGGCTGTCTTTCTTGAAATCCTTTGAATTGCAGCCTGGATGCCCCTTCACTCCACTTCTGTCAGTTCTGCATATCCCTTGTCTCCCTCCCAGATTAAACTCTGGGCTGACCTCAGCACCCTCAGCCATCACCTCAGCTGGCCCTACCAGTCTGATGGCCACTCCCCTAACACCTAAGAAGAAAGTCTGGTGTTTTTAGGAACTGCTTTTTATTTAGAGAATTTTATCTTTGAAAGGGGTTTTTAAATCTACTTATGTTCCCTAAAATAAGCTTATAAAAAAGTGCTCTCCACTTTGTACCTGGTTAGTTATATATCATGTTTAACGTGGTCTGATTTGGGTAGTTGTTAAAATTGTATGTGGACCCTACAGAATTTTGAGTCACGTGATTATTTTGTTAAAGACTAACGTTTCTTGGAATGTGATAGTGTTGCAGGGGAGATGGTAGGACCGCTTTCCCCCTTTTCCTTGACAACTAAAATATACTCCTGATCAGGGATATTTTTTGTTCATTTGATGGTTTGGAATTTCCTATGCTTTTTAAGTTCAAACGTTACTTACTACTTTGACATAATTTTAGTTTGCATTGACTTTTTCTTTTTAAGGAATGGGAATGGAAGGCATAGGATTTGGCATAAATAAAATGGGAGGTAAGAGATTTAAAATGAAGTACAAATGTAATCACTTTTAGGTATGGTTTTCTCTCACCTTTCCTCTTTCTTTTTCCTTAAGCCTTGCATGAATTCTCACTTTCGGTTTTCTGAAAGTTTGAGTCTAGAAATTAATTTTACCTGTCAGTCTTTCCTAGTGGGTATCTTGGCTTTTGGTCTGGCTTTCTCACTAACTAGCTCTGTGACCTTGGGCAAATCACTCCATCTCTCTGGGCCTCTTTTTACTTGTCTGTTGAGGGGGTGGATCAGATCAGCGTTTTGAAGATGGTGGTTTCCAGGCAAGGGCACTAGCATTTTTTCCCCCAAAGTCCTTATGCTTGGTAAGGAAGCTCCTGGCAGAAAACACCCAAAGTGAAACTCACAAAAACATCTTTCTTTTCCTGATGAGTGTAAGCGGTCTCATTGGGATGGTGCTCAAATGTGGATATCTCTTGCAGGAATGGAGGGACCTTTTGGTGGCGGTATGGAAAACATGGGTCGATTTGGCTCTGGGATGAACATGGGCAGAATAAATGGTAAGACTTGGGTTTCCTTCCTGTGTGCACCTGCCCTCTGCTGGTTGTTGTCTCCTGGGCGACTGTGAGGCAGCACACCCATTTTCAGTGAATAAGATTTGCCCCTTCCACTTTTCTTGACGAATCCAGTGTCTTTGAATTGCCTTATTTGAAATCATAAGTTTGTTTCCGAAGCTAGACTTGCTGGTAGGTAAGTGTTAATCCCCTTAGCCACTGAACTGTGTTCTGAATCTCCCCAGTAATTACCCAGAAAATTCTAGAGCTTTTTTATTGCCTCCAGCACTAGCAGGCATCCTGTAGACACATTTGTGGTTATGTTTTGCATACTTTAAAATCATCTTCAAGTGTGAGGGATTAGTTTTAGTTTCTTTGGAGTTTTTGATCAAGTTCATCTCTCTCCTGGAGTGCTGGACTGCGTCAGTTCATGAGCATCTGCTCTGAGAACTTGGAGTTGTGAGCAGAGACAGTGATTTAGCTCAGCATTTCCATAGTGAGAATTTTGGTGTATTTCAGACCTGCTATCCCTTTCGACCCCTTAACAGAAATTCAGTGGTATTAGTTATCATTGTAACCGTGTGTTTTGTTCAGTCCTTGCAAGAACCACATGATTCGTAGGTACTTTTATCACCATTTCATCAGAAACTGAGGCCCGGAGAGTGACTTGCCTAAGGTCACATGGCTAGTGATATTGGGAGATGGGTCCCGGTATCTGGCGGAGCCTGCCCTTCAGAACTGCCTTCCGCGTGGGCGTCAGCCCCTCCTCAGTGGGCCTGCAGAGTGTGCCTTGAGAAGCCCCACAGTCTGTCTTTCTGAAATTCTCTAGGGGTTGGTGGACTCTTTTACCCCCACCTGTGGGGATGATGCTGCCCTTATACACACAAACTTCCCTGAGGAAGGTCATTGAAGATTTGCATGTAAATGTTTCTTTTCTGACCTGCAGTATCATGTAATGTGAAGATCGAGTTAGAGCAACTGAGAGTCTTACTAGGATGGACCTTACTAACTATCAAACTGGAAAGAAAGATATTTCTCATGCATAAACTGTCCTTCTCCATGGGGTTGTCTTGTTCTAGATAATGGTAAAAAGATGTAGGGAAGTCCTCACCAGTAGTCAGGAATGAAGGGACAAGGGCCTGAGTTTGCAGGGTGCTTTCAAGCCAGCCTGTCGTTCATAGTGTGTATTATGGGAATTTTAATAAAAAGAGTTGGAGGAGTCTGGCTTGGTAAAGTGTTTGCTCAAAACAGATGAGTCCGCAGGAAGGAGGTAACATTGTTGCTCTGAGGAGTGGAGTGATGTGACTTAGAGGCGGACGGACGGAAGTGAGCTGGGGCTGTGCTGAGCTGTGTGGGCAAAGTCCTTGGTAACCTGGCAGGTGGAAGGCAGCAGCCACAGTTCTGAGCCTGGTGATCAAAGGGTTCCGAGTGCAGATTCTCGTGGGGAGCAACAATGGAGGATGTGTTGAGATGCAGTGCTCTTAGATGTTCTCACATACAGATACTCAGTCCTTCCATGTCCTCCTCGACAGCAGAGAACAGGGACTTCTTCCACTTGAGCTGTGTTCTGGGATTTGAGTGAGTCAACGTAATCACAGAGGGAAATTGATAAAGATGTTTTGGGTTTGATATTTAATTGGCGACTATAATCCATCTGTTCTGGTCACAGGTGCTGATATCAGACTGGCCCTGAGATTCTGATTTCTAATCAGTCAAAGTAGAGGTCAAGTCCTAATAGAATGGATGCTTAGGAATTACAGATTAAAAAACCAAATCCCAAACAATGATTTGATGCAATATTTGACAATGAAAACACTTCCATTTTGGGGGGGATTACATTGGAATTCACAGGGAGTTCCCTGAACTGCAGAGACTGCTGACAGTTGGGAAGATGACTTCTGAGGCCATTGTCATATTACTGCCTGCACATGACTTCCCTTATCTCCAGGGGGCAGAGTGCTGCCGTCTTCATGCCCTTATGATAGGGATTAAAGGAGTGCAGCAGAGCTCTGTCTGTTACGGTGCCAGTGTGGGACTCCTGCTATGCCTGCCACATGCAAGCTCCCACAAGTTAGTTACCTTTTCAGCAGATGGCATGCCACCAACCTGTGACCTTCGGTGGGGTCTGTTCACACTATGAATAGCACGTCTACCGTTGCTAAATGAGGCATTTCTGATTCATAGTGCTAGCCTGCTTCCACATCTTCAGTAGACTTATTTCATTGAAAGTATAAGGGCTTGAGCTGCATAGAACCAATTTTGGCAGTTGCACAATTGAAGGCGATTGTTTGCCTGATTTCTAAGGAGCAAGATTAATTAGGTTTTTTGTTTTTGTTTTTTTTTAATTTTTAACGTTTATCTATTTGAGAGAGAGAGGAGAATCCTAAGCAGGCACCATGCTATCAGCACAGAGCTGGATGCAGGGCTCGATCTCACGAACTGTGGGATCATGACCTGAGCTGAAACCTGGAGTTGGATGCTTAACTGACTGAGCCACCCAGGAGCCCCAAGACCTTTGTTTTATTTTAAATTTAATTTTTTTTTTTTTTTTTAACATTTATTCCTTTTTTGAGAGAGAGTGAGCGGGGGAAGGACAGAGAGAGAGGGAGACACAGAATCCGAAGCAGGCTCCAGGCTCTGAGCTGTCAGCACAGAGCCTGATGCGGGGCTTGAACTCATGAACTGTGAGATTATGACCTGAGCCGAAGTCGAATGCTTAACCAACTGAGCCACCCAGGTGCCCCTGTTTTGTTTGTTTGTTTGTTTTGTTTTTTTTAAGGCATTGCAAAAACGTAACTCTTGCTGTGAATGTAGAAAAAAGTAATGAAGTTACCAGTGTCCTTGTGTAGAGGAGACCACTACAGTTGATCCTGGAGAAGGCATGTTATACTGCAGGGATGTTTCTGGATTCTCCTTGGATGTGCTTGTGTTAGGAGAGTTTGGGTTTTTGCATTGGGTTTATAGGTTCCAGCCTTTGCCTCGTCCCATAGCAGGCAGGTGGCCTTGGTCAGGTTACTAAGTCATTTGAGCCTTAGTTTCTTTGTTAAAGGGGCCATGATGGTGGAGGGTGATAGAGGTGTGCAGGCTGTTGGGCGGATTCCGTGGACTGCTGGCGCCCCCCGGAACGCTGTGGGTGGGGCGGGGTGCTTGGGAAGTAACCGAGAGCTGTAGCTGCTGCTTCCTGTGACACAGCGTGGATGCAGCCCATTGCTGTAGTGGCTTGGTGTAGCCACCGTGTGACTGTAACGAAAGTCATCAGTTAGTCTTTGGTGGATTGAAGGTAGGTGGTTTGCAAGGGACTCACTTGAGGCGAGGGGACCTTTGTAAGGACTAAGGGATGAGTGATAGTTTCTCCTAGAAAAAGTAAGCGTGCTGACTTGGTGCTGGCTGCTGTGTGCCTGTAATTTGTTTTATTCATGTCTAAAGCACAGAGGGATTCCTGGAAAGGCCTAGGGTAATGATTTCTTCCACAGAGATGGAGCGTGGCTTGGGTGGAGGATTTGAGAGAGACTTTGCCAGAAACAAGATGGGAATGTTTCGAAGCTCTGGACAGCCCCATGGCAGAGGCTTGGGTAAGAAGGCCCCACGTGAGCGGGGCTCATGCTCAGCTCAGAGGTTCTTTCTTAAGCAGAGTCTGCTATCTTTCCATCGTCTTTTAAAACATTGTTTTCTGGACTTAGGTAAAAGCTTTTGGTCCTTGAATTTTTTATTCGTATCAATAGCACCAGTTTCCTTTATAGTCTTTTCAAATGGCTTCTTTGGCTGCATCGGTATAAGGTGTTTGCTTGCCGAGGGAGTTAAAGCTGCTGCATTTACACAGCAGTGGCTATCTAGTGCGGTAGTGGCTTCTGAGGCCCTGCCGAGCGGGATGTGAGTCCCCTTGTCCAGGGCGCCATGGTGCTCTAGTTGGCGGATGGTGTGGTGTGATTGCTGGTGCCTTTACAAGAGGCCTCAGGGAACTAGAGACGTGTTCTGGTGCTGGAAGGCCTGGAGTATTGGGCCTAAGTGCAGAGAAACTTTCGTTTCAGTTTTGATTGCATTGCCCGGAGTGTCTCTCCCCTCCCTGCTGTTTTGAGTTTAGATGTTTCTGAGAATCTGTCAGCTTAGTTCTTCGTGAGTATGATGCAAAGAGATTGTCCATTTCTGCACTGTTAAGTTTGTTTCTGTCCAAGCAGAGTTGGAGCATCGGTCCGCCCTCTTCCCCCATCTTTACCTGCTTCTCATTCTGTGCAGATGTGAGGCTGCTAGGTGGCTGCCGCAGAGGGCTCAGCCTCTGTCTTTAGGGGACCCATTGAGTTAGGTGTGAGGTTTTAAGCTCCTTTTTGTCTTGTTTGTGTTAGTTGTATTCTTAGAATTTATGAAGGCTGTAGAAAGATTCATCATCCAGTTCATCAGTGAGACAAGATTCTTCTGTGGATTATCTCTGGGACTCCCATCCTCTTTGTGTTTGTGTTCTCCATGGAAACCAGGAACTATTAGAAACTGTTTTCCTTTTACTCTGAGTTTGGGGAGACTTCTATTTCTTTTTCCCTCCCCGCATGTGAGGTAGCTGGAAGGACTGACTTTCTTGTGTCTTACCAGGCGGGTAGTGACGATTTACTTTTTTTTTTTTGTATGTTTGATATGACTGTCTATAACTTTATTCTAGATTATTTCAAATTTGTAGAATATGGGGGATGAATTCATAATCTGTATGCGACTAGGTCAGTTAAAAGTTTCTTACTGTCTGATCATCATTACAGGGCTTGGAATGGCCGGGTGTTTTGTTTTTACTTATTTTTTTATTAAAAAAAATTTTTTTATTATTAAAATTTTTTTTTTTTAACGTTTATTTATTTTTGAGACAGAGACAGAGCACATCCGTGGAGGGCAGAGAGAGAGGGAGCAGAATCGAAGTTAGGTTTGTGCTCTGGGCCATCAGCTCCAGAGTCTGAATGCTGCCTGGGGTCAACCTCACCGAATTACCTAGATCTGAGCTGAAGTTTGGCTGATGAAATCACTGGAGCCACCCACTTCCAAAAAAATTTTTTTTTTGAGATTTATTTTTGAGAGAGAGAGAGAGAGACAGAGTGTGAGCGGGGGAGGGGCAGAGAGAGAGGGAGACACAGAATCTGAAACAGGCTCCACGCTCTGAGCTGTTGGCACACAGCCCGATGCGGGGCTTGAACTCACCGACCACGAGATCATGACCTGAGCTGAAGTTGGACACTTAACCGACTGAGCCACCCAGGTGCCCCACGAATGGTTGGGTAGTTTCAAAAAGGCTGTAAGTAGCGATTTGTGGAAACTGAGGTGAGAAGAACAAGATGGCACATGGCTTTGCTCCCACAGGCACTTGTTCTTGCCCTGAGCCTTTAATCCTTTGCCCCTCTGTGGTGCCTCTCACCTCCGTGATGAGGCTGGCAGCCTTCACCTCGTTCCTCGCAGAGGTGCGGGAGGTGGATCTGGTGAGGTCGTTACTTCTCGTGGCAGCAGGAGAGTCTTGTGTCCTGACCTGAATAGAGGTGTCATCTTGTAGGCCTTGCTGTCTCCTGCTACTTTGCCATCCCTCCCTTGTCTCTCTGTGCTGAGGCCTTGCACAGTGACAGGGGCAGGAGCAGAGGGCTTTGTTCTGGAATTTCTGTTGCTCCTTGTGGTCAGACCCACTTTAGTAAAAGCGTCTTTGTACCAAATAAGTTTAAGTTGGGTTTTCAGACTAGGATTTTTTGTTTTGTTTTTTTTTTATATTCAGTTCTTGATCCCCCCCCCCCCCCCCCCCCGCACCCGCAAGTGGAATCATTTTGGTGGTATTTTCTGTAGGGCCTCCCCATTCATTGTCCCTTCTATCAAGGCAGTAGATCTTTGCCCTGGTTTCTGCAGGCCACTGTACTTGGTGGTACAGGGAGATAGTTGTGTGTTTCTTGATCTCGAAGGAGGTGATGGCAGCTGTGGAGGTGATGCCCGGTGGCTCAGGGCAGCACCAGAGGCCCCTCCGGTAGAAGAGGCCTAGTGAGGGTGCCAGTGGAAATGTTGGTTCCTTGGCCCTTGGCAGCCATGTGAGCACCACCCAAAGGTGATCGTTTTCTCTCTGTGTTAAGATTTGAAAAAGCACTGCTCTGGGTGGTTGATAGAAGTGCTCTGTTCAGAGAGCATGGGATCCAAGCAGGAATACAAAAAGATGAGTGCAGGAGATGTGGTTTAAGCTGGAGGGGCTGGGTGTCTGAGAGGGTTCAGCATAGGTAGAGGGCGTGCTGGCAGATAAAGAGGGCTGACAGCATCCGATGCAGAGGTTTGGAGGTGAGGGTCTACCTGCGGTGGGGAGAACAGGTTCAAGTCATAGGACAGGGAGGTCTTTGCCCATGAAAAGAATTTGTCCTTTCTCTTTAAATCAGTGGTGGGCTGATGATGAAGGATGTGTGCAGGAATAGTTTGATCTAAGTGCCGTTTTAGGAAGGTGAACCTAGGCCTGGGTATGCTGAGCAGGATCACAGGTGTCACGGAGGAATAAGTGAGCCCTGTGCTCGCAGGCTGGAGGTGTGTGCTTCCCTGTGTCCTTCCTTTAGCAGGTAGCACCAGAAACAGCTGTGGGCTCAGGGTTACTCTCTGTGGTCATGGGCCTAAAATGAGGTGTGCAGACAGACTTTAAAGGTTCGGATGAATTGTTGGCAAGCAGGCGACAGTGTTTTCTCCTTTGGACGAGGTGTTGGATGAGTTTTGGATGTGTTGGGGGTTTTATTTTCCTGAAGCTTTGTCACGTTAGTCAGCATCACCCCCAGCTCCTTCCAGGTGGGGCTGGTGGGCTCAGCTGGCTGGAGTCCCTGCACGACTCAATGAGGTCACGCTTCAGTGCTGCGGGCGGTTGCTGCTGCGTTTCAGGGTTTGGGCAGCGAGTGTAAGTAACTACAGCTTTAGTTTGCTCTAAAGGACAACCGTGAGGTGTTGGTTGGATCTGGGAGGATGAGCGCAGGCTTCAGTGTGAGCGCTGAGGGTCTGGACTGCTTGAGAAAACTGCTGCTGGCCCCATTCTTGCTCTGACTTCCTCACTTTCAGTTCATTGGTGCACACTGGTCTTCCTTAGCTCCGCTGGATGCATTCCCAGATGGTGTTGCCAGCTGGGCCTCAGACTCTGGAGCTACATGGGATCCTAATATCATGACCCATCATCAAGGACTTAACAGTTTTCCAGTAAAATGATCTTGTCTCTGTGTGTGTATTTCTTAACCCCTTCCCCTGTCCCTTGTTTTATTTTTAAATTAGTAATATTCTTACTCTGGAATCTGTAATAAACAAGTTTCTGTTACCATAGAGAAATTTGGCTAATTTTTTTTTCTTCCTGATTTCCTTAGAAATCCTAAGTAATGCACTGAAGAGAGGAGAGATCATTGCAAAGCAGGGAGGAGGTAGGAAACGCTTAGTTTTGATGTTTTGATTTTTAGAATAGGCTGTTATTAACGGGGATAGTAGAGTGTAGTGGTGAAAAGCACGGGCTCTAAAATAGACTGCCTGGGTGGGAACCAGCTCTGTCTCTTCCTAGCTGTGTGACATTTGGCAAGTTACTGAACCTCTGTTTTCCATACTGTAAAATGGGAATATAATGGTACCTACCTCATAGGGTTGTTGTGCAGAGTAAATGAATTAATGCATAGAAAAGTGTACCTACTAAGTGCTATGTAAGCATTGGCCATTGTCGTTATAATGTCCGTGTAATTTGGGGGTTTGTTTTAAATACTATAAAATTACAAATTCCTAAAAGTAAATACTTAATTACAAAAGCCTACAACTTCCATACCTAACAAATAATTACTGAAGTATTTATATGTACTCTTACTAAGATTCAAAAAATTATAAAGAAAGTAAATCTCTGCAATTGCGCTGCCCTGTGATGAGTATTGTAAACATTTTGGAATATATGCTTCCACTAATGTGCTTTTTTTTAATGGGTAGTTAAAACTAAATGTACTTTTTCAGCTTGATTTCCCCCACCCGTGGCTCTGAGTGTTTTGACATTTCCTTGGTTACTCCACTTGCTGGTTATTTCTGTGGTGTGCTGATTCTAGAACTCCACGTGGGCACCGTTTTTTCCTAGTTCTCTGCTACTGTTGGCATCCGGGGAGTCAGCCTGATTTCTGATCCTCTTGAGCATGCTGCCTACCCTTTCCAGTTATCTTACTTTTTAAAAAAAAAATAGTTCCTAAGAAATTTCTGCTTTGGAAGTCAATATTTGTAAAACCGTGTTTATGTTTTGCCCCTCGGTGTGCTGTTATTAAGTGCTACTAAGGAAACGGGCATGGAGAAGTGGAGTGACGCGAGGTCACTCTGTCCGTTAGAGACGCACTTACAGAAACTGAGTTTCCTCTTGATTTACATGTTGCACCGGGCTGCTCGGATCAGTAATGGGCTGGCTGTGGGCTCAGCTGCCCTTCGTCACAGGCAGGTGGTGCTGGTGGTGGTGAGGTGAGGGGGGATCCTTAGGCTCTGCATGTGGAAAAGTGGTGGGCAGTGGCCTTGGTGGTGGAGCCAGACCCTCCTTGTCCCAAGAGTTATCAGCCGTCACAGGGTCCTGCTGGCAGGGACCTGCCAGCATGTGTCCAGCTGAACCATGGCACTGAGAACTGATCTGAGGCTGTTTGTAGAATCCACTCTGCAGTGCCATCGACTTCTTTCCTTGAAGGCCAGCAGAGTAGTTACACACAAGTCATTCAGTGGTTTTCCTCACAGAGTAAGGTTCCCCGGAAGTGGCTGTCTGTTCGTCTAGACATAGAGGATCTCTACTGGTGTTTGTTTTCTTTATTTCTTAGTAATTATGTGGCCGTATACTAGCTTCTTTATGCCTAGAGGTGCTAAGGAAGTTCAGCCAGACTGGCCACCAGCATGCATCTGAGAGAGGGATGAGCTGGGAGAGGATAAAGGTTGTGAGGGATTTGAATTGTCCCATACAATTCAAGTAAATCCATTACACTGGCTGACTGAGTGGGGGTTTTGGAGCTTCCTCCCTTGAGAGCATTTCTCAGTGTCTGGTGGTGGGAAGAGCTCAGGTTCCCTGAAATTGACCACTGTGGCTCACAGAGCTAGTTTACGAGTTCTGGAACTTCCGAAGTAACGTGGAGAACATTTTTTGACACAGGAGCTCCAGGGTGGATTTTTTTCCCTTTTTAAATTTTATTATGGAAATTTCAGCTGTGGCACAGAAATAGGAAGAATGGTGTCCTCGCTACCCTGCCTTAACAGTTGTCCACATTTGAGGGGTGTCTCATGATAAATTGTCGTGGGACTTAATTCCTGAACTGTGGTTGAGTTTGTGGAGTGCCCCGGTCTCTGTACCCAGGTCACCTTTCTGGCGTGGTGGTGCACATAGTGTGCAAGTCCCTGATATTTGCCTGTGTTTTGTGTCCTTGTTTCAGGTGGAGGTGGAGGCAGTGTCCCTGGGATCGAGAGGATGGGCCCTGGCATTGACCGCATTGGGGGTGCCGGCATGGAGCGCATGGGCGCAGGCCTGGGCCATGGCATGGATCGCGTGGGCTCCGAAATTGAGCGCATGGGCCTGGTCATGGACCGCATGGGCTCAGTTGAGCGCATGGGCTCGGGCATCGAGCGTATGGGCCCACTGGGCCTCGACCACATGGCCTCCAGCATCGAGCGCATGGGCCAGACCATGGAGCGCATCGGCTCCGGAGTGGAGCGCATGGGTGCCGGCATGGGCTTTGGCCTCGAGCGCATGGCCGCGCCCATCGACCGCGTGGGCCAGACCATTGAGCGCATGGGCTCTGGTGTGGAGCGGATGGGCCCTGCCATCGAGCGCATGGGCCTCAGCATGGAGCGCATGGTGCCCGCAGGCATGGGGGCTGGCCTGGAGCGCATGGGCCCTGTGATGGATCGCATGGCCACCGGCCTGGAGCGCATGGGCGCCAACAACCTGGAGCGCATGGGCCTGGAGCGAATGGGCGCCAACAGTCTCGAGCGCATGGGCCTGGAGCGCATGGGCGCCAACAGCCTGGAGCGCATGGGTCCTGCCATGGGTCCGGCCCTAGGCGCTGGCATTGAGCGCATGGGCCTGGCCATGGGTGGCGGTGGCGGTGCCAGCTTTGACCGCGCCATCGAGATGGAGCGAGGCAACTTTGGAGGAAGCTTCGCAGGTTCCTTTGGCGGAGCTGGAGGCCATGCTCCTGGGGTGGCCAGGAAGGCCTGCCAGATATTTGTGAGAAATGTAAGTGGCTCTTGGGCAGATTCTTGGTGGTGGTATGCACAGAGGGGGAGGGGGCGGGTCGAAGTCAGGGGGGTGCCCCCAGGAGGGGAGCGGAGTAGCAGCGCAGAAGGCCACCTTGCCACTGTCCCCAGAGTTTGGTGCTGGTAGGATCAGGGCAGAACGTAAGAGCACGCGGTATGTGTGCAGCTGGAGCCGGGGCTTCTCGGACTGCTGGGTGGAACCGACCGTGAGCTCAGGAACCCTAGCTGCTTGATTCCCTTGGCTTGATTCCCTTGCCACCTGGGCGTGGCAGACCGAGGGATAAAGGACTGTATCTAAATTCTCTTTCTACCAGATTGACCACCTTCAGCTACTGTCGAGTGGTCTGTGGGCCGCTCACCATAGGCGACTGCATTTTCTGCACGTTGAACAAGGAAGTGTACTTGGTGTGCTGGTTTAGAACCTCATTCCAGGCAGGCTTGTTTTGTTCTCTGCTGATCGTCTCAGTTTGAGATGTTTCTTGGTGCAACAAGAACCACTCCCCCGCCCCCAAGAGACCCTGAGGTTTTATGCATTTAGGGTGTTAGGATTTGGTTGTGTCACTCATCAGTTTCTCCTTTTCCCTTTAGCTCCCATTTGATTTTACATGGAAGATGCTAAAAGACAAATTCAACGAATGTGGTAAGTGTTTGAGAAAAGGCTTTCTAGGTGCTTCCGTGTGTTGTGGCCTCCGAGGTCTTAGCTTGTTAGTGATGCATTTGAGGGGTGAAGCAAAGCTCCCATCCTGGTCTTCACTGCCACTTGCCATGACTCGCGACTGATGGGACTTGCCATTTTTCTGCCCGTGCAGATAGTCAAGCCAGCTGTTGGGTTTCCTTTTATGTGTCAGACACTTCTCACCTGTGTTCTCATGTCAACCTCGTTCTTCTATGGTTTTTGAAAGGAGGTGATGTCCCCGTTTTACAGATGAGTCAGGCAGTCACGTTCCCAAAGTCACATGGCTTCTAAGTGACAAAGCTGAAGAAAACAAATACTGATCTGAGATGAGGTTGCTTTCTACCACAGCACTGTTGGTTCATGCCTCAGAGAGCACTTGCCCAGGAGTTCCCAGGGGTGAGTGTGTGTGTGTGAATGAGGCCTAGGGGCTCTGGTTTCCCGGCACACCAGGCCACCCATTTGGTTCGCTTTGTGGCCAAAAGGAAGTGCAGTTGTCACCGGGTGAACCCCTGCCCCTCACTCACACCACCTCTGTTTTTTTAACCCTGTCAAGTGGGAGCCCCAGGCCTAAGCCAGGAGTCTGGGCGGTTTGCTGGGTCAAGGCTTCCTCAGCGTCTTTACTCATTTCCTGTTTCAGTGTTGGCTCAGATTGCACCACTTTGCTGCTTCTCCTGGTTCTTCTCTTGGGGCAGCTGTTGAGCCATAGCACGCCCTCGTGCCCTCTCCCCACTCCTCAGTTTCTACATTGTACAGTAGGCAGTCTGAAAAGTCAGATTGGATCATGCTGCTCTCCGGCCTGAGCGGCCCGGAGGTACCCGGCTGCCAAAAGAGAAACTCACCAGCCCCTTTGCAACTTAGTCCCTCCTCTTTCATCTCCTTTCTCCTTCCTGTCCCTGAACCCTGAGTTGCAAGTGCCATTTTTCAGAAGTGCTTTATTTCGAGCTGTGATGGCAAGAGTCTTCCTTCTGGTGAAGGTCTTTCAGAACTTTCTGCTGAGAAGCCCTGGAGATGTTGACCTTCCCTCAGGCTGAGTTAATGGCTCTAGAAACGTGGGTCCCTTAGCACAGGCTGCATGGTCCTGTCCTTTGCTCTTCCCCCTTACAGACTTGTTTCATGGTGCTTGACACATACCTGGATGCTTAATCAGTGCTTGAATAAATATGTGAAACCCACTTCCTAATTAGGATGCAGCTTAAACCTGAACAGTACAGAGTGTCCATTGTATCATGATGGCCTTGCAAATGTGGTGTGGGGTCTTGAAGCCCAGGCCTCTGCAAAATTCACCTATAAAGTTGGCTGCACACGGCCCCCCCTTTTAACTCTCTCTAGCGTAAGGGTATGCGCGTGTGAAGCTGCCAGGGGGCCTTGTCACGGGCCGGTCCGATTATCGTCCTTTGGCAGAAGAATGGCAACGTGGCTTGAGGGCCATCGTCTCTGGGTTCCGGCTGCTGCCTTCTGAGCATTCGTGTGCCAGGGCCGCTCTCCCTTTTGACTCTGTCCACCGAAACCCAACAGGTGATCTGGACTGAGTGGAGCCCAGACTGAGGCTGAGCTCTGGGTTTGCCTGATGAGTTGTGGTCTCTTCTTCCCTCCCTGTGCCCAGGCCACGTGCTGTATGCCGACATCAAGATGGAGAACGGGAAGTCCAAGGGGTGCGGTGTGGTTAAGTTTGAGTCGCCAGAGGTGGCTGAGAGAGCCTGCCGGATGATGAATGGGATGAAGCTGAGTGGCCGAGAGATTGATGTTCGAATTGATAGAAATGCTTAAGCAGTTGCCTTTTTTAAACATCGATACCAGACCTCTGAATTTGTATTTTTTCTTGTTAACCATTTTAATTTGTTGGCTGGATGTATAAAGATGTTTAAAAAATTCAGTTGCTTTTTGGGGTAATTTGAATTACTTTTTTAATGACTGGGGTTCCATTTGACTGTTTGCATTGAGATTGCAATGTGCGCAATTTTTTTTGTAGTTGTGGCATCTTGTTGACATCGAATATGACTTTGATAATAAATACCAGTTCCTGAAAAGACGCTTGCTTTTTGCGTGTGTGTTGTGGGGCATCCGCCTGAGGTTCGGGGAGCCAGAACCAGTCTTCCTTCTACCCTTGGAGCTCTGGCCACTGGGGGTCGCATCCCCATCCTTGCTTTGTGTGTGGACGCCGATGGGGGGAGGACATGGGCCTCGGCCACTTCAGGAGAACTCTCTGGAAACTGAGCGGACTTGGATTCTCCAGTGCTGGCATGCACTTGGATGTTAGTGGTTCTGAAAGCCGCCATCCCCGCTCCTTGCTTACAGTTCCTCTTGGGGGCGTAGACATCGTGTCAGGCTCATTTCCAGTTTGGCTTTTGTCGTAGTCTACCTCGGGCGCTATAACAAAGGTACCATAAACTGGGCGGCTTAAACACAGACGTTTATTTCCCACAGTCCTGGAGACTGGGAAGTCCAAGATCAAAACACTAGCAGATTCCATGTCTGGCGAGGGTACCTGCTCGTGGTTCATAGACGACACTTTGTAGCTATAATCTCAACATGGTGGGAAGGGACAGAAGGCTTCTCATTCCTCTTTTATAAAGACACCAATTCCACTCAACCCCCAAATACCATCACATTGGGCATTAGGCTTTCAACGTGGAAACTTGTGTGTGTTGGGGGGGGGGTATATACGTTCAGTCCAAGGCAGCGTTTCTTAGCTACCACAGACCAGGCAGGGTGTGAGTGTCTGAGCATGTTTAGTCCTGTAGCAGCTCAGGCGGAGCGTGATACCTGGGCTCTGTCAGAACTGGGTCACCCCTCCCCCGTCCACCAGGATGTGACCTCATACATAGGTCCACTTGGGCTAGACAGCTGTTGGCAGCCCGCGTGGAGCTGCAGCCACTGCTTGTCGTGTTTCGATGTGGCGTCCTACCCTTGCTGTCACCTCCTCGTCACACTTCTCCTGGTGTGTATCCCTGATGGGTGAGGCAGTGGGGGTACAGGGTCGACTTCACAGACCCCGAAGGAGATCATGTCTCCATTGGGTGCCAGTCAGGGGAGAAAGAAAAGACAAGAAGCAGGGATCGCTTTAAATAGGAGCTTTATGTGGTTCATGTATGCAGTCAGGCACCAGCCTGGATGGTTCTGTGACTGCCAAGCTGGGATCCAAGGCTCCTGGTTTAGCAGGTGGCTGGGCGGGCAGGTTGTCCTGGGTACCCACACCTGTGGGCCTTACTGTCCCCTGGGGAATGGATGGCTCTCCAGAGGGTCTGCCAAGGAAGGGAGGGTGACTTCCGTTGCCCACCCGCCCCCCAAGTAGATAGCAGCCCCTTGGGGAAACGGGGTGTGGGAGGGGTTACCTCCTTCCAGGCACCGTGATCCCTTCCAGCCCACCTAGAGCATCTACATACCCTAGAAGCCAACATCGTCATACACCTCCGTTTCCCTGGCGGAAAGTACGGCTTGGTCAGTAAGGGTCACCTCGGCCCGTTGACCAGCCCCCTACCCCCCACCCCCAGCCAGGGCCAGTCAGTACTCACAGGGGCAGTAGAGCGGTTCTGGGCACGTAGCCATCTGCAAAAAGAGTGGAATAGGTGAGCTCCCGGCGCTGGTGGTGGCCCGTTTCCCTAGGACTTTCTGGCCTGACTTACATTTGCCCTTGGTGTCCCGGCACAGCATCTCGTCCTTGTTGGTGAACTCGATCACCTCTAGGATCTCCCCACGCCGGATCCCCAGGTACTTGCCACCCCCGCGACGCGTCTTGGCGTTGGGATCGATCATCATCCTTGTCTGAATCACTATCTCCCCCTCAAACTGGGGAGGGAGAAGTTAGAGCTTTTGTTTTGTGCTGTCACCCCAGGGCTTTGGTCACCTAGGGCTGTGCCAGATCTCCCAGGGCTCCTGTTCACAGAGTTGTGGTGTTCACACCTTGAACTTCTTCCGGAACTCCCTCTCGGCTTTCTCTGCCTTCCGGATCTGCTTCAGAGACTTAAGGTCTGCAGGTGGCAACTGCTGTGGCTGGGGGGCCTTCTCCTTCCTGAGGAATTGGAGGGTCCTGAGCAAGATGTGCCCCCCCCACCCCACCCCCGTCCCCTTCCTGACCTCCCAGACCTCAGCCCCACCCCGTTCTACACACACCCTTTGCCCTGTGGTACCTGAGCTCTGGGTCTTGTGGCGGCCTGGGGGGTTGCTGGGTAGATGGCACCCCATCTGGGAGCGGGGAGAACGCTGAGTTAGGGCAGGGACTCTTGGGCTAGGCCTCCCTTTCAACCCTGGTGGCTTGATTGGGAACGGAGCCTTCCCTGTGTCAGTTCTCAGGACGTCAGTCCCCTCCCATCCCTCACCCTGCCCACCGGCCCATCTTCTCCCCAGGCCTTTTTCCTGGGTTGTGAGTTCTAGTGCATTGCCTTTCATTTTCGTAACTGTTACTGCATGATCGGCAAGGCTGAAATCGTTCACCACAGTAACTGCTTCCAACCCTCATGACAGCCTTCCTCGTAGCGGGCAATACAGTCATTCCCAGCTTGCTGAGGAGGGAAATCAGGGCTCAGAGAGGGGTAAAGCGGTCTGCTCCGGGGTCATCCAGCTGGTAAATGGTAGAGGGAGGATTTGTCTGTGGGCTTTTGAGGCTATTTCATGTCTGTCTCCTAGGGTAGGCTGGCTTCTGGGAATTGTCATGGGATTTGGGTCAAACATAAAGTGAAAGCGTATCCTTGAGCAAATGAAGTGGGCATCTGCGAAGGGGCTGGTGGGGTGGGGTTCTTGGACTGGCCTGGCTGCTGCTGAGACTGTACTGTGAGTCTCCCAGGTCAGGGTTGACTTCCTGGCAAACTGCCAGCCTTCCAGGCAGGAGCCTGCTGACTGAGGGTTTGGCTTATAGCGAGAGCCTCGTGAGTACCAGTTGAGTGAAGGATCCAGAACCTGAAGCCCCCGCCTTTTCACTTCAGACTCCAGCCTCCTTGGCCTGGTGCTCGGATGGTGCCATCCATAGTCTTACCCAGGACACTCCCTCCCGCTGCTCCCACTCCTCCCGGAGGCACTCCGGGGCCCCTACCCCCCTGGCACACCTGTAGCCCAAGCTCCCTGGCAGTGGGACCCAAATCAGGCCACACAAGTAAGGCGGGCTCTGAGGATGGCCCCTTCAGGTCCTGGGACCACCTAGGTCTGGCCCCAGCGCCTTCCAGGGAAGCCCCCTGCTGTGCGAGGACCCTCTGGAGGAGGGCCGCCACCGCTCCAGAATGAGGCAGAGTGGGAGGCTAGACTTGGAAAGGCCAAGTAGCCTTTTTTTTGTCAGGGACTAACAATTGGTCATTCCCCCACTGACAGTGTCTGAAGGAAAGATTTGGGAAGTGTATTTGATTGGAATCTGGGGAGCAATGGCCAGATAGGAAGAGACAATTGTCCACCTGGCAGGGATGGTGAGCAGAGGTGGGGATGTGCCTGGCCGGTTTGGGGCTGGGGACGGGGGCGGGCCATGCCTGCTAGACTGCTGGACAGTTACCAGAGTCACCCCCTCTCTCCCCATCCCTGTCCCAGGAGCGGCCCCCTGAGCCCCCAGCCACCAGGCCTCCACAGGAGCAGGAAGCAGGAAGAGGGAGCCCTGCCAGGTGGCTCACCTGGGGGGGTGTTGCAAGCAGCCTGAGGAAAGCAGGAGCAGAGGGCTCGGGAAGGAGGATGCTTGAGCAGACCTGGTGCAGGGAGCTGGTGGGGGAGGAAGCAGGCGCATCCCAAAGCACCCCAATACAAAGTTGCCTATGGGAAGCCCCAAAAAAGGTGGGGCAGAAGGAACCGGGACCACAGGACCTGGGCTCCTGTGTGCTGACAATGAGCTAGGGCAAGTTACTTTTGGGTCAGGCTTCCACATCTGTAAACAGGCATGTGTGTGGCCTTGGGGGGGGTGGGTGGGAGGTCTGGTCGTGCAGGGTCAGTGACATGCACGTAGAGTGCCTGCACCAGGCTTATTTTTTCCCCCACCAGAAATTGGTGAAGGCATTGACCCTGCAGTGGACTGGACGCGTTGGGTCGGCTCCGCACCTGCTCTCTGGGAGCAGGAGACTGGGAGAAGCGAGAAAAGGGGACCTTCGGACCCGGGCACAAGTATCGAGACCACAGAGCTCAGGGGTCTCGTCTCCAGCCCGTGCCGAGTTCAGGCCAGTCCCATGAAACACCTCAGTGGCTGGCAAGGTCTGTGTGGAACCTGACACTGTCCCCAGCTCAAACTGGCTCCGCACCCAGGCGTTGGGCCGAAACAGACCTCATCATGGTGGGCTCGCTCTCGCCATGGTGGCTCACACCACCAAGTCCTTGATGCGCAGCTCTGCCCCTTCTGCCACCGCCCGGGCCCCGCACTCCTGGCCACACCATACCCACTGACTGCTCTCGCCCACAGAGGCTGGTCAGACCTTTCGGAGGGCCTTTCCTCTGCTTTCTCCTCAGTGTTGCCAGGAGACGGGTGGTCACTTCACGCCAGCAGCTGGCAGAAGATGCCCTGGCGATGGATGGTCCCCAGGTGCCTGGGGAGGGTCTGGCTAACAAGCCCCACCACCTAAACCTCACCCCTCATGGGGCGGGTGGTCCATTAATTGCGTCGTCATGCAACTCGTAGATCATCCTGGTCCCTGCGAGATCCGCCACAAGTAAGGCCTCGCGGCCTCGGGCCTGTGCGGGCAGCTTCACACTCACTGGAGTGTCTTTGCGATCTGTTGCTCCTGGAGTGGATGGCAGCAGCGGGCAGAGGCCTCCTCAGGCTGTGGGAGGGAGGCAGGAGGGGCCCGGGCCTGGCGGGCTCTCCCCGACTTTCTGCCTGGGCACTTGCCGACCCACCTATCGGACCCACCTGTGGCTACAGCTGACTCAGCGAAGACTCTGAGCGTCCCTGGGACGGCGGGGCCAATGGGAAGGGTCCCAGGCTGCTGAAAAGCAGGGGCAGAAGACCTCCGCCCGAGGTGTATTTGAGGAGCCAGCCTCGACAGATCCACTGTGGAGTGAGACTGAGTGGGAGCCTAGGGGCGGGCCAGCATGACCTGTGACAGGGGCTGAGGCTCTCTCAGGCTGAGGCCAGGAGGGGGCTTTCTGGGAGGCGCAAGAACTTCTAGGCATCACCGGGCTTCTTGGGCAGAGCACTGGGCTGGGCTGTGAGGGCTTTGCAGGGAGCCCCCCCTGGCACTCAGGCTGCAGGAACACTGGAGTAAGGCCAAACTCAGGCTCTGGGAGCCCACCCCTGGGGGAGCCCAGGCTGGGGCCTGTGGGGAGGTGCTTTGGTCCCAGGACTACCCGTGGCCTCTTAGGGTCCCACTGACTTCGGCTCTGAGGACCTCTGGTGAGGTCTCAAAATCAGGGTGCAGGAGCTTCTTGGGGAGGTCACTCAGCTGAGGGCTGGGATCTTCTTGAAATGTGCACAGGGTCGAGGCTGTGATGGGTGGGGTGGGGCTCACTGGACTCCAGCCTTCCAGGGGTGTCTGAGGGACCTCTTGAACTCCAGGCTGCGGCAGGCACTTCTTGGGAGCTCACCGGGCCTGAGGCTGTGAGGGGGGAGCTTCTGGGGTTGAACTCAGCTGTGAGGGGCTTCTTGGGAGGAGTGATACAGAAGTCAGGCTTTGAGGGGTGGGGTGGGGCTCACTAGCCTCCCACCTTCAAGGGTTTCTGGGGACCTCTCACTGGACTCAGGCTGCGGCAGGCACTTCTTAGGGAGCTCACAGAGCCTGAGGCACAAAGAGGGGGCTTTCTGGGGTGTCCACAGAACTCCAGGCTGTGGGGCTTCTTGGGAGGAGTATGAGGGCCTTGAAGGGTGGGGTGAGGCTCCACCCAGTCTCAGCCAGAAGTGTCTGAGGACTCTCACTGGACTCAGAGCTGCAGCAGGCACTTCTTATGAGGAGCTCACCCGACCTGGGCTCTTGGGGGGAGGCTTCTTGGGAGGGAGTACTGAAGTTGGGCTGTGAGAGTCTGGGGTGGCCTGTTGGGCTCTCAGGCTGCTGTAGCTTTTGGGGAAGGCTGGATTTGGGCTCTGGGGGGGGGCAAAGGCCTTTTGGAGGCCCCAGGCTCTTGAGGACTTCTTGGAGAGGTTCTGAACTCGGGTTTGGAGGGGGGCTTCCTGGGCAGATCAGCGAGGAAACTGGGCTGTGAGAAGGCTTCCTGGGCACTACATTGAACTCAGGCTCTTGGGGGCTTTTTTTGGGGTGTAACAGCTCAGCTGTGAAGCTTCTTTAGGGGTTTGTGGAACTCAGGCTTCAAGGGGTTTGGGAGTTAGCTGGTCTCAGGCTGAGAGGCCTGGAACTTTGCTTGAGGCTCGGAGATCCTGATGGCTCCCCTAAGGAACATGGAGGCCAGAGTCAGAGCAGGGACTCTCTGCTGACTTCTCTTCCCCTGACTGTGTCTTAGCTCTCCAGTGAGTGGCTGAGGACTCCCACACACATTTGTCTCCAGGCTCCCGGGCCCCCTGACCCCTGGAGCACTGCATATGTGCCCCAGGCTCACCCATCAGGACCCAGGCTCCTTCTGATCCCCTGGGGTTGGTGGTGTTGCCTTGCATGAGACTGCGTTCCTAGTAACTTCTGTTGTTCAGAATACATCGAATGCAGCCACTTGTCACTTTTCTGTACCACTGTCATCACGGGCTGGAAGACGGAAGGAAGACCCTCCCTCCTGGGTCTCCCTGCCCCGACCCCCACCGCCCCAGTCTCCACATCTCACAGCCCAGGCCTGCCCCCCACAGCAGCCAGAGGAATCCCTCTGCTCAGAATCCCAGCAATTCCTTTGTTTCCCCATGGTAAGTCAAAGACCTCATGAAGGCCCTGAACCATCCATTGGCCTCCCTACTGGATCTTCACCATGCAATACCTCCTCGTCCCCTAAGCCTCCCCCTCCCGTCCCCCCCCCCAGTGTCTTGGGCCTTTGTCCCTGCCCCTTGCGTGACGCACTCCCACTCAGCCTGCTTCGCCTCTTCCACCTCAAGGTCTCTGCTCGTGATAATTTCTCTTCTTTCTTTAAATGTTTATTTTTTGAGAGAGAAAAGGCCAGAGAAAGTGGGACAGAGAGGATCTGAAACAGGCTGTGTGTCGCGACAACAGAAGAGCCAACCTTGTGGCTCAAACTCACAGACCAGACGGTTGGATATGTGGGCAGGCCACCCAGGCACCACATCTCTGATATTTCAGCAATAGAGGCCTTCCTAGACCACCCATATTTAAAAAAAATCAATTCCCCCTTCCCCTCCCAGTCCTCCCATGCCCCGTGACCTGCATTTTCACTTAGTACTTGCTGCGAGATGTCACAGAGTTTATTTGCCACGCCATGTGCCCTGATGTTCTGTTTTTTTGATTCCTCTACTACTCCCCAGACCCCAGGTCAGGGACTTGGCTCACTAGTTGCTCTCCTTCCAGTGCCCTGTATGGCACACTGGGAGGCTCAGCAAATAAATATACATACACAAAGGCATGTATACTCTATCCCGCATTGATCTGTCATAAGCCTCGTGGAGAAAGACACACCAAGGCCCGGCGGGAACAGTGTAGATCTGATCCCACCCCTTTGCTGACGGTCAGGCACTCACAGTTCGATGGCTTGAGCAGGCCCAAGCATGCTGAGCACGTGCACCTTGGCACCTAGGCTGACCGGCCCTGTACCCTCTGTCACAGACACAGGCGGACAGGCCAGGCCGGCTCTGACCAGAGGTGGCCCTGCTGCAGGCCCCCAATCCTGGCTTCACCCGGGGCCTAGGAGATTGGGGAGTGGGGTGGGGCAGGGGCAGAACCGTGTGGACCTTGCTCTCTTGTCTGTGCCTCACTTTCCTATCCCGAGAACGAGGAAGGTGACTCCCGCCAGACTGTTACCTCTATTAAAGCCCCCCTCCGGGAGGGTGGGGCCAAGGATTCCCTGGGTGACCCACAGGACCAGAGAAATCAGGATCAGCGGGTCATAACTTGGGTGACTGCTGGGGTGCAGGGTGGGCAGTGGGTACGTGACCCAGCTGTCACCCGGCCAGGAAACCCTAATGTTCCTGTCTCATTACCAACTTTTCATGCTGACCTGTTCCTCCTGTTAAAGTCGAAACCTCAGCCTGGGCCATAGGCCCCTTGGAGCCCCAGCTGTCCCAGCAGTGAGTCCCGGCTGCTTCCCGCCTCTGGGCCTCTGCGGTGGTCATTGCTGTTTACCTGGGTGGCTTTCCTAGCCCCTCTACCACTCACCTCTTGGAATATGCCCTCCAGTCTCCAACCACAGCACCCCTTGCCTGTGGCCAGCGGCGGGGGGTGGGGGGGGGGCTCTCCTAGGGTTGGGGGTTCACTCACCATGGCTACAGGCGGGTGATGGGCCACAGGGCGAGTGGGACCTGAGCTGGGCCGCTGCCTTCAGGAAGTGACTGTGGCTTCTGCTCCACGGGCCCCACGGGGGTGGGGGCCGATGGCGGGGTGGGGAGGACAGAGGAGGAAGGAAAGGAGGCGGAGACAGCCTCCGCCTGCCCCCAGATCCTGCCTGGCATTTGAGTTCCCGTCCTGCCTGCTGCTGTCTCTCCATGGCTTTGGGCATCGGCCGTCAGCACATGCCCAACACGGTCACTAGTTTCTTGACTCTCTGTAGTTCTGGGGGCTGGCTGACTTCTGGTCTCCAGGGAGGACTCCTCGGGAGGGCGAGTTCTCTGTGGGTAAGGGGCATGGTCAGCTCTGGGCCGGGAGACCAAGGAGTTGGGGGAGCGTGACGAGGGAGGTCCTTCTGCCGGCTCTTGTTGCCTCATCCGCCTGCCTCATTTCCACACTTCCCCACGGATTCTCAGCTCTGAGCAGGACTTCCCTATCGTAGGGGCAGCTGTCTGTCACATGGGCCATGGACACCGTGGTGGACAGGGGGCCCAGCCCAGATGGCAGATTTGGTGGGGGGGGGGGGGG